AACAACCCTAAGAAGAAACTCCTGTCGAAGCTCGAATTAATATAATTGATTTGAATGGGTGGAATGAGCGGCAGGTATGAATAATGACGGAACCCAACAGAAAAAACTTCCTAAATTTGTTTGATTTACGTTTTACCGTAGTGGTGGAGTTGAAATATATATCCTAAGATAAGTTTAAAAAATCTTTTTGTTGATAAAAGTCATTTTTCAAGCTGGCTACTCTTCGAAATTTTCAGATATTACCAGGACGTGAAATTTTCAAAAAAGGATCAATTGAGCAATCCCCCCCCGTTATGACCAATTGAGCTATCTCCCCCCAAGCAAAAACAGTAAAACGCTACAAAAAGACGCAAGCAAACGCAAGTAGATGGTTGATGTGTTCGTAGCACGCAATCAATTGAGCGACTGAAGTTTATTTTAGTTCGAGTATCGAAAAAATTTTGAAAAAGAAAAAAAAGAATTTTATAAAAAAGTTTTTTTTGCAAATTTTTCTCTAGGCAATCATTGCATCATCGAGGAAAGCGACTTACCAGGGTTGATGATCTAGCCTTGTATCTAAATATCAAACACTGTTCGTTCTCCGCAGCACCTTAATATTGAAATTTTGCAGAATCTGTTTAATGATTTCATATCATTCAAACTATTTTCAAGTGGTTATAAACAAGTCTCAAGTACCTATTGAGCTTTATTCCCCCAAGCGAGAATGGGGGGGTTGCTCAATTGATCCCAAAAAAATTGATTTTTCACACTAATTTGTTTACAGGTTGATTTAGAGCAAGCTGCTGCTTTTTTGTTTTTAAGTTAACTAATCATGGCCCCCACCCAACTTATTGTTTATCATAGTGATTTTTTTCTGCCTATTTTTATGGCCAAAATCTTGTTAATGTTGATAAATTTCATGTATTCATTGTTATTTTTGTGCTCAAAATGTTGTTGATTTCGACCACTTCATCAATTTTTTTTTGCATTTTTCGGGCTTTAAACCTTGTTTAAAATGATTATTTTCAATCAATTTTTACTGCATATTTTTGTTCACAGAATCTTGTTCATATTGATGATTTTCATGGCTTTTTTGTTAAATTGTTTTTTAAAAGTTTGTTAATCATGCATATTTTTGTGCCTAAAATCTTGTTAATTTTGAAAATTTTCCATTTTGTGTATTTTTCTGCCCAAAGTTTTGTTTGTTTTGAAATTTTTTTTGATTTTTTTGCATTTTTTTGAAACTAAAATCTTGTTTATGTTGACAATTTTAATAAAATTGTTGCATTTTTTTGTTCTTAAAACTTGTTTTTTTATTACTTTCCTAATTTTTGACATTTTGTTCGAATTCAACTAATGTTTTGAGTTTTCAAACAGCATGGTTCTTAGAATGAAAATATATTCCATTTTTAAGGTGATATAATCCATTGTTTTTGGGTAAAAGATTTTTTGTATTTTAAGTCAATTTTATGGCGATAGCAATAGATTTTGTTGCTATTTTATGGCAAAAACAATAGATTTGATTTCGTTTTTATCGCAAAGACAATAGATTTGTTTTCGTTTTTTTTTGTTGAAGACAATAAATTTTACTGCAATGTTACGGTGCGAAAACTTTTTATACTTAGATTATGTTGAGATAAAAATAGAATTTAGTTGAATTATTATACAAAATAATGGTCTCGAAAATGATTTATTTTTTTTTCTTAATTAAAAGTAATTAATTTTTTTCTTAATTAAAAGTAATTCTTAATTAAAAGTAACATTTTTGGGAAGATTTTTTCAATATGACCTATTTTTACCCGAGAAATTATGGTGCGGGCAGGTTATTAATGTCACAGTTGTATGATTTATGCATATCAAAAATTTATTTTTTCTTTTCGATTCAATGTTTCATAATTACCTTACTATAATAATTTTGATCGATTCTATGATCATATACTATTTTTGGTTTGGGTAACTTCCTTCTAAACAGAACGTTTAGTGGGCCCAGTTTTTATGTCTAATTTCACTACGCGTACCATGTGAAGTCTGTTTTTCTAAACAGAAAGGTTTTATAGGTTACCTAGCCAAAATATTTTGTTTTCTGTACAGAAATGATATATTTCTTTCTTAAATTAGAAAAAAAACAACTTCTAGAAAAAAAATAACTAGAAATTAGTTCGCTGCTCAACCGCAACGAGATAAACATGCTTCGAGTATACACAATAGCCGTAACAGTGCAATGCAAATTAACACTTGTTATAACAAGTTTTGCTTTGCATTACATTGCTAAACCTATTCTGGAACATCAGGTTTGGCGGTTAAAATAACTGCTTTTTAAAAGGTTGATCAGGAGTTCGAGCCCCAGTAGAAGACTCATTTTCAAGCTAGAAATAGCCTAGACTTACCTATTTTCTGATCAGAAATAAGAAGAGAAAAAAAGAGTTTTTAGAAAATACCTGCTTTAAACATTTCACAAAGAGTTTCTGACCAGAAAATTTGATCAGATATAAAGTATTCCAGGTCAGAAATAAAGAATTTTCTCGGCACGGGTAGAGTTATTGTCTCATTTTTTGCGGTCGTCTATTTTGCTTGTCGTCTACCTTCCTAGGCCCGATGTAGAATAGTTTCCTAAAAAGGATCAAAATCAGTAAAAATGAGGTAAATGTGTACTGAGCAATTTTTCAAAGAGAAGTTTTTTGCTGTGTCAAAAACAAAGCTTTTTTTCCTCTGACTTTTGTTTATATAGAAGAAAATCTTTGTCAACTACCTGAAGCATTGGCATGTCTTACAGCACCAATAAGTACTGATTTCTCTTATTAATGTTTAGCCACTGCATAAACCTGTAAGTACAGATGCATCTGAATAATACTTAGCTCCAATGTAGCATGTCATCTACGCTCTGCAAAAGTTCAGTTTTATGCTTATTATCTGTTTGTTGCTTGATCAATATTTGCGCTTTTTCTTTTTTACTTTTTGTTCATATAAGATATCCCATCCCGGACTGACCATCCTACCAAAAGTTCCCCTACTTTAGAAGTTTTTATATGAGCTTAGGAAATTTCCCCTATCTGTAAAAAACGTCCACTAAACTATGCTAAAACTTTTGCATAAGAAAAAAAAACAATCATGTAATATTCTTAGAGCCTAATTTTGCAGGAATTTGTTAGAAAAGTTCTATGATATTGACTTTTGTTCAACCCGGGATTATATAGGTGGTCCGCGCGAAACTTCTCAGGAAATTTTTACCTCTACCGTTCACATATTACCCTCGTTGGTAACTTTCGTGCAATTGTGAGGTTACTCATAAGCTTTCTATCAAAACTCAGAAACAGTTTTTTTTTTTTTTTTTTTTTTTTTTTCAATTAATTTTGTCCTTGTTTTCCCGAACTTTAAAAAAAAGAAGTTAGACAGAGAACTTTTATTTGTTTTTTTAATCAAAAATTTCATGTACTGACGACGACTGAGGTCAATTACGGTAAAAACAAATTAGCTCGGAGAGTACAAATAGTTAGAAATCTAATAAAAAGTGCCATCACTTGTCTAAAATGTCCATTTTCAGAAATCAGACTCTAGGCGCTCGTTCTATTGTTTTATCATAGTCTTTTGATATACTTGAAGAAAGCAGCTCAGCTTTCGTTTTTTTTTATTTCCATTCTATACGAACCCTTGTCGCCAAGCGAATCATGTTTAATAAATATGAAAGCAAATTTGATTAACGCAGTGGCAAATGCAAACAATTCCATTGCAGCCCTTATCATTGTAAACATGGAACACGTTTTTGGGTAGATTGGGAACACCAAAACCCTTGTATAATATCAGCTAACTTTCGGCGACACCCGGTAAACTGGGCCTTCTCTCAAGTCAGGAACAGTTAGAAATTGACATATAGCTCTGAGTCCAAACTAACCATGGGCGCCATATTAAAAACTTAAAACGTGGTTTAAAAGGGTAACACTAGAAAAGGTCACCTAAAACATGTAATTTGAGCTCTTGCTTTGGGTAAACTCTCTTATCAGTTCCCTCGCAAAATACCTCGTATCTCAATTCCAGCAGTTTGAGCCCAAATTTAGCACACTAAAATGTGAAAATTACTTGTACCTTTCGAAACCTGTTCAATACGGGTTTGATTTTGTTCCATTTTCAGAACTTTTGCGAAGAAATTGTAAATGCCTATCGGGCAAACTATTTTGAAGCTGCAATTCTCAAGTTGTGAAGTTAAGAAGTCTTCAAAAGTAGACTTGGTAGTATGCACGGGCGTGATACCTGCAAACCCATAACTACTATCAGGAACGAATCGAAATTTCCAGATAGTTAGAATGAAATTTCGTGGAATTTAAAACCCGGTAGTCGTAATCCTAGCCTACGTGTATTTAAATCGGGAGAGCCTGTGATAGATATTCTTTCCTTCATTCCGTTCAGCTTCTGGTCTGTTTTGGTCGCATTTGGGCTCCTTAGTTAATTTTAACAATAAGTTAAAACGCCACCAGACTTATAACGTATTATAATAACCTGCACTAGTAGTACGTAGATACTGTCGGCGTGACTGATTACACTCGTGGATTACAGTTGACCTTATTTAATCATTAGATTCTTGAAAGCAGAACCAAAAAAAACTTCATCATGTCTGAGGTAAAAAAAAAAACAGCTAATATGTGGATTCAGGTCAATTTTTGATACAAATTCGACTTTTTTCAAGCCTCGCTTCTTTCATATACAATAGTGTAGAGACTTGGCCAATTTTTCTTGAACGATAAAAACCAACCCATTTTTGCAAAAAAAAATACTAGTCGAAATCAGAAAGCTCATACCGATTTTTTGAAGAGTAAACAAGCAACTTAGTTCTTTTTCAAGAACAAATGGCTTTAACCAGGCGCAAAAAACGCATTTTTTTGCAGTCTATTCTATTTATCAACCTTTCTTTCTACATTACGACCGTAAATATCGATGGAAGTAAATATACGTGTAAAGCCCGTCGGTTTTTCCTGATCGTGATCACAATTAATGATGTTTAAATTTATGTTTGCGTATGTTGTTTTCAGAAGAAGGATTTCAAGCACTTGCTGTCCGGCGGTGGCAGGAAGGCCAACATCAAGGTCAGGCTTTAATTTTACCTTTTCGCTAATCGCATCCAATTGAATGAAAATTTTAAGTTATATTTATTAAATGATAATAGATATTGTCAGATTGTTTATTGGATGGACGAATACTAAACATTTATTTGAACTTGGCAAAAATTCAAAAGATATGTAGATAATCTACATATCTTTTGAATTTTTGCCAAGTTAGTAGATAGTTATTTTTTTTTGAAACAAGCTAAGACAAACCAAACCATTGATAAAAAGTAAACCTTAAAAAATTGCCAAATAATTTGACGAAATTTAAAGTTTTCCTGTTAAACTCAGCGTGGGTTCTCATTAGTCATTAGCAAAATAATAACATATTGTTGCATTTTTAAAAGCATGTTTCAATATATTCAATGGCATAATTGGTAGAATGTCTCTATGTGTTGAGTCTAACTTCGCTCCCATGGCGTGACTCATGACGTGACTCATTGCGTGTTGTGTTGTGTGTGTAGAACTTGTTGATGAAGAAGGCGCAGGAGGAGTTGGCGAGAGAGAAGGAGCGAGAGGAGGCTGAGAAGAGGAGGGTCATGTCCGAGAGAGTGGCCCCACTCAAGACCCAAGGAAAGAGTGAGTACATTCAATTCAGTCTTAACTTCCTCAATAACATGAATGTTATTGCTCATTTACTAATAAAATCTCTGCACAAATAAAATAAAATTTTCGCAGATTCTTATTGATATAATTTTTGGATGCCATATCGTATATATCGAACTGAAAGTCGGAGCATAAAGTCAAACTGAGTCTAGCTACATAACCGAGATAGGTCGGATCAAAACTTGTAAAACTTCCTAGCCCAATGTTTTGACTTTTCATGCAGTTTCCTGGTGGTTTTTTTGCTACTTATTAAGAAACTAAACTGTGTTTTCATAAGGCGCAATATGACTCTTGAATCCGGAGATCAGCCTTTAAACGTGCAAGAACTTGCTAGCATAACCCCTAACAATATTGGCAAGTTGTTGCAGGTTCCTCGTTTGTTACTGGGTTCTCCAAACTGTTTAGCGAAATCCACATTTGTTAGTGGGTTCCTCTAATTTTTTTTTATCAAAAGCGGATTCTGCTTACAAAATGCAGATTGCGCGACTGCGCATTCGAATGCACACAAGGGCGGATTTAGGGGGGGGGGGTGTTGGACGCCCCCTCCCCCTCAGGGATTCATTCGACCCTTTACCGACCCATAGGGTCCCCTCTTTGAACTATTCTCAGATATCTAATTTTGGCTGACGAACCCTAAAATTTTTTCTAAAAGCACTTTTGGTATCAATATATAATTATTTTAAAGGGGGAGCGCGCGCCAAAAAAACGCGATTTTTGTAAAAAAATTTTCCAAAAAGTTTCTAAAAACGCCTTTTTGGCATGTTTTTTTTCAAAGTTTTGCCTGCGGCGCAGACATTTTGGCCAAAACAGGGACTATTTAGTTCTTTGGGAGAGCTCGGAAAAGTAATTTGGTCGACCTAAAAAAGGTGGACAAAATTCCGAAACTTTTTTTGAAAATCTGGATTCCGCAAATCTTGCTGCTTGAGAGTGTATTGCAGCAATAGAATAATTGAATCATTTGTCTCTGGACTCTACGACGATAAAAAAAACATCAAGAAGTGGATTCCGCTTACAAAATGCAGCAATATATATTTTTTTGTAATTTCTTAAGACTGGTCGGAACATTCTGTGCTACTTGCTCACAGTAACCGGCTATCCTTGTTTTTGTTTGTTATTATATTTCTCATGCAAACGATTTCGAGTCTTGTATGAACCAATTTTTAATGCTTAACTTGTATGCATTATTTTGATTATCAATGATTTTATCAAACCAGCTATATTTTAGGTTTTTTAAATCAAATCTTGCTCTATACATTATCAAATCCTCCAGCCCAACGCTTATAATTGACCGTGGATTTACATTTTGATAATTTTCATAGTTGGATAAGAGTATTTTCTTAACAGATAGCGTCACTGAAAAATTTGACAAAACTGGGACAGGCCTGATCATACCTGGGACAGGCCTGAAGCAGACATGATCATACCTGACCTTACATGATCATACCTGGACCAGACATGATCATGCCTAAAATTACAAGATCATACCTAGATCAAAAATGCTTTTTAAAAACTCCGTAGGCCAAAACTCAAATTATAGTCATGTCTGACTCAGGTATATCATGTGATCACATGTGAAACAGACATGCACAGAGCTGGAAAACAGCTAGTGTCTGACCATTGTATGATCAGACGTGAAATTGTGAGAAAAGTTCGGTAGGGGATGTGAGCCATTAAGTACTATGATGGTGCATGTTCGGTGGCTTTGTTTTAGACGAGGGACAGCTCGTGGAGTACTGTGAATGGATTGTTGAGCAGATCAAGAAGGCCGAGGCGGAGAAGTGGGACTTAGAGTACACTCAAAAGGAGAACGACAAAAAGGTACAAACTGTCATCTTAATAAAGAATACTCTGTCGCGTGCCACATGTCACATTAACGATGGATTAAACTTAATGAAAACTCATCAAAACATCTTCAAGATACTAAGAATGCACTAACTGTGCACCTTAAATAAGGAAATTTTTTAAAAAAATGATTGAATTCGTTTTGATTTCAAAGGTATTTTTTTTTGCCGTCGGTTATTACCGAAGTGCTTGAACCATTGTGTCTTAATCATAGTTTTCTCTCAACATGACTTGAATTAAGCCCGTCAATGATCTAAATAAGTTCCGATGAAAAAGTTAATTCTGAATTGTTCTAAATTGTAAGTATAATTAGGCGATGTATACTCTTTCAGATCATGGATCTCAAGCAAAAAGCCATGGAGGGAACAGGCAAATAGTGAGTCAAACTAAATTTTTACTGGGGGTGTGGATTTTAGCTTCGTTTTCCCCCACTTAAGATCTAATTTGACCGATAAATCCAGTTAAAATCTTTTTTTTCAAGATAATATAAAAAATGTCCGACATTTCAAATTACAATTCAACCTCCGATCTTGATATTTTGAAGAACGACTAAATTTTTAAAAATTGACTTTATTTTGAGTTTATTTACAGCGTAAAGCCTCCCCTGAAGCGTACTGGAGTGAACTTGAACAAGTCAGCTGCCCAGGCGGAGATTGAGCGAAGGAAGCGACAGGCGAGGATGAGGATGCAGGCTCTCAAGGTCAAGGCAGGCGGCAAGGCCCTGGAGGAGGCCAACGAGGCTGCTGCTGCCGCCGCTGCTGCTGCTGCTGCTGCAGAGGACGAAGTTAGTCTTTAAAAGTACTCGAAAAATTTTACAAGTTTTTTGCAATTTAAGTTGTCTTTGTTTTATGGATATATTGATCATTTTTTCTTAAAATATTTTTTTTTTGTAAATTTGTTCAAAAACTACAAAATAATTATGAACATCATGTCAAAATTGACAAAATAAAAGTTTTTTTGTCAAATTTTGAATAATTTTTTTTCTGAGCAAATTATGCTGAAAATTGCTCAAAAAAATAGAGGGAACAAAATATTGTGTAAACTATTGTAAACAACCCTTAATTTGGTCGCCATGTTGCTATAGCTAATTTTAATAATATTTCAGGAGTGAAATACGATTGCTGGAACAAGGATTGATTGAACACTGAGCGGGATCAAAGAAAAAATATTGATATTCTGTGCTCGTTGTCTTATTCTTCCTCATTCGCAATTAAACTACGACAAACTGCTTAACTCCTGTACAAATTTTTTACGGCGCTTCTTTTTGGTCTGTTCTCGAATTTCTAGTAATAAGTTGGATTATAACCTGATAATTTATTGAGTATGGCAGTTACGCAATATAGTGCACGCATTCAGTGTTTTTAAACAAGTACAATTTTAGGGCAGAACAGAGGTTGCTGTCTTTTTAACACTCATTTTCGTTTGGCTGAGTGTTTGGCTCAGCATAAATTTATGTTCTGGTTGAAGCGTACTTTTCGGTGTTTTATTAGTTAGAATGTCGCACATAGTGTTAAAAAACTTTTCTGTCGTTTTCTTTGGCTTTTGGGTTTGATTGAATTGGGCTGCAGAAATAAAACAAAAATACGTGAATAAACTTGTACAGTAACTGCAATATATTAATTGCAAAAAAAACCAAAGCAAAATAAAATTTCGAGTGAAGTTTTCGTTTTCGCTGCCACTGCTCTTCGCCTAGTTTACTCTATAAGCAATCGCTCAAAAGCAACCCTCCCCTATCAATCAAAGGGGGTTATCTTGCAAGATCTTTAAAAGATATTGTAAGATTCTTGCAATATAACCTCCTTAAAAGAAAAATTTTTTTCAGGCAAGATTTTCAAAGAGTTGATTTTTTTTGGGATAAACAGCTTTACGTGCGAAAATAACCCTCTAGCGTTCGTGTAGGAACTAACATTCAAAGCGCAGTAGTAACATTTAATTACTTAAACAAATTAAAAAAGTAAATTTTAACCGCACAATACAATAAACGTATTTTTTTATCGTAATTATTAAACAAAACATTCAAAATATCTCAATTTAATTGACTCTATTGGTCAAAGTTTTCACAAAAAATAAGAAAAGCTGATTTTTAATCGCTAAATTTGCCAAACTAAATGAATTGTTCCAATAAAATAAAATAAAATTTTTGGAAATCGTGAACTGAATTGCATCAATTATAACCACCACCTGATACTTTTTATATTACGAAAGCTGAAAAATGAGCATATAACTTAACATTTTCAAAAATTGTTTGTCCTTAAATTTTAATCCAAACCTAAAATCAGAATTATTTTACCGTAGTCAAATTGGATCTCCACGGTCTTTTTCTGGCGCTGAGAATATTTTTCTTGTGGAAACTTTTCATGGTTAGTTATCTTGCAAGAACTTGCAAAAATCTTTCAAGATTGTTGCAAAATATTCTCACTCTTGTAAAATCTTACTAGATAACCTCCATCTTACAAGATCTTACAAGATAACCCTCATTTGCAGAAATCTTACAAGATCTTTCAAGATAACATTCGTTGATCGACTAGGGTAGGCTCAAAACTTTAAAAGCGCTAAACAAAGCAACTGGGTCTTTTTATTTTATAGCTCAAATTTAGAAAATTATTTCGCCTGTGATCAATTTGGGGGCTTTGAAAATTATCAATCGGCTAATTTGGGACATTTGTCGCTCGATACATTTCGTGCTATTAACAGGTAACAGGAGATTTAATTCGTCCTAGAAACAGTTCAAAATGGATTGACGCATGCTCTTTAGTCTATTTAATACATTCCTTGATGCAAAATTTACAATTTTGTATTTTACATAGCGTGTTGGGGGGGGGGGGGGGGGGAGGGAATTTCATCAACAATTTTATTTTTCGCTACTCTAAGGAAACTAAAGTCGGAACATTTAGTACTTCGACTTGATACGAGCAGGTTTATTTCGACTTTCGACGAAAAGAACGGAATAATTTTACTCGGGTATTTCTTTTCTCCTGACAATTTTTGACTTTTCAACGAGCCATTTTTGACTTGTGATCATCATTTGTAAAGTTATGGAGTTAAGGGTTTTAAAGACTGACAACTTGGCCGATATGGGATATTTAGCGCGCAAATTATTTCGCAATTTTAACGCGTAAGCGGAGATTTAACTCCGCTCAGAATTAGTTTCATTTTGAACTAAGGCATGAATGGTGGACTATTGAATTTTTTGCATAAGTCAAATATGTTTTCTGCACTTTAAATAGTGTTTGGGGTGTAACATTTAAAAGCACAGAAAAATTTCCTTTGCTAATTTTTTTTTGAAATGTGAAATTTTCATCAGATTTTTAAGCAAACACTAGGACATATAATTTTAAATGCGTTCGAGACATTCAGGGTTTCTCCCTGTTACGAGCAGCTTTTTTTTTTCAAAAACAACCTGCGAGCTGCTCCAATTTGATATTTGCCTATGAATCAAACTGGGTGTAGTTCGAAATTGGAAATTAAGTCAAAATACTCGGAACAGTTCTTCTCAAGTCAAAGAAAAATTTTCAAACTTTTTTTTTGAAATCTATATCATGACCAAATTGAAAATAACATCATCGAGTTGATCGCTCAAAAGCAGTATTTGAGCCGGAAAAAAATACGTAAAAAGAAACCCACACAACGCTTAAAATCAGAATCTTTGTAATCAAACAAACACTAGTTTGATCGTCATCCCAAGCTAAAAAGTTTTCATTAACTTTTTTGTAGCTTTTTTTTCATTGACTAATATGCTATGAGTGATGCAGCAACTGAAAAGAAAAAAATCTAACTTTTAATGTTGGTCAAACTCTTCCGCAGATAGTTTAGTCTTTTTGAAAGAGTTTTTTTGAAATGCAGTGTATTTTTGAGAAACAATGAGCATTTTTCACCAATTGTTTTTTTGATTGCCATATGCTTTTAAAATCTTTTACCCAGATTGTTCTGCCAGTACTAATTCAAAGTAAAAATAGTTATATGTTTTTTTTCAGTACTTTTCCAGGAAAAACCCACTGAAACAAAAGAAAACAAAACTGTTGCAGTACTGGAACAGTACTGTTACCATACTGTTGTATTTATATCACTTTTTTGTCCTTGAACAGTACTGTATTTTTTCAATTTTTGAATTGAATTTAAAGTTTTATTAGAGTCGTTACAATCAAAAAAAGATGAAAGAGTCCCTATTTCACCCACCACAGCTAAAATTAGCTGAAAGCCGCCTAAAAACGCAGTTTGTTTTGCGAAATTAAAAGAAAATAAATAAGTTTTGATAATTAGAAGGCTTGAGCAACTAAATTTTATTTTTCGCTACTCTAAGGAAACTAAAGTCGGAACATTTAGTACTTCGACTTGATACGAGCAGGTTTATTTCGACTTTCGACGAAAAGAACGGAATAATTTTACTCGGGTATTTCTTTTCTCCTGACAATTTTTGACTTTTCAACGAGCCATTTTTGACTTGTGATCATCATTTGTAAAGTTATGGAGTTAAGGGTTTTAAAGACTGACAACTTGGCCGATATGGGATATTTAGCGCGCAAATTATTTCGCAATTTTAACGCGTAAGCGGAGATTTAACTCCGCTCAGAATTAGTTTCATTTTGAACTAAGGCATGAATGGTGGACTATTGAATTTTTTGCATAAGTCAAATATGTTTTCTGCACTTTAAATAGTGTTTGGGGTGTAACATTTAAAAGCACAGAAAAATTTCCTTTGCTAATTTTTTTTTGAAATGTGAAATTTTCATCAGATTTTTAAGCAAACACTAGGCCATATAATTTTAAATGCGTTCGAGACATTCAGGGTTTCTCCCTGTTACGAGCAGCTTTTTTTTTCAAAAACAACCTGCGAGCTGCTCCAATTTGATATTTGCCTATGAATCAAACTGGGTGTAGTTCGAAATTGGAAATTAAGTCAAAATACTCGGAACAGTTCTTCTCAAGTCAAAGAAAAATTTTCAAACTTTTTTTTTGAAATCTATATCATGACCAAATTGAAAATAACATCATCGAGTTGATCGCTCAAAAGCAGTATTTGAGCCGGAAAAAAATACGTAAAAAGAAACCCACACAACGCTTAAAATCAGAATCTTTGTAATCAAACAAACACTAGTTTGATCGTCATCCCAAGCTAAAAAGTTTTCATTAACTTTTTTGTAGCTTTTTTTTCATTGACTAATATGCTATGAGTGATGCAGCAACTGAAAAGAAAAAAATCTAACTTTTAATGTTGGTCAAACTCTTCCGCAGATAGTTTAGTCTTTTTGAAAGAGTTTTTTTGAAATGCAGTGTATTTTTGAGAAACAATGAGCATTTTTCACCAATTGTTTTTTTGATTGCCATATGCTTTTAAAATCTTTTACCCAGATTGTTCTGCCAGTACTAATTCAAAGTAAAAATAGTTATATGTTTTTTTTCAGTACTTTTCCAGGAAAAACCCACTGAAACAAAAGAAAACAAAACTGTTGCAGTACTGGAACAGTACTGTTACCATACTGTTGTATTTATATCACTTTTTTGTCCTTGAACAGTACTGTATTTTTTCAATTTTTGAATTGAATTTAAAGTTTTATTAGAGTCGTTACAATCAAAAAAAGATGAAAGAGTCCCTATTTCACCCACCACAGCTAAAATTAGCTGAAAGCCGCCTAAAAACGCAGTTTGTTTTGCGAAATTAAAAGAAAATAAATAAGTTTTGATAATTAGAAGGCTTGAGCAACTAAATTTTATTTTTCGCTACTCTAAGGAAACTAAAGTCGGAACATTTAGTACTTCGACTTGATACGAGCAGGTTTATTTCGACTTTCGACGAAAAGAACGGAATAATTTTACTCGGGTATTTCTTTTCTCCTGACAATTTTTGACTTTTCAACGAGCCATTTTTGACTTGTGATCATCATTTGTAAAGTTATGGAGTTAAGGGTTTTAAAGACTGACAACTTGGCCGATATGGGATATTTAGCGCGCAAATTATTTCGCAATTTTAACGCGTAAGCGGAGATTTAACTCCGCTCAGAATTAGTTTCATTTTGAACTAAGGCATGAATGGTGGACTATTGAATTTTTTGCATAAGTCAAATATGTTTTCTGCACTTTAAATAGTGTTTGGGGTGTAACATTTAAAAGCACAGAAAAATTTCCTTTGCTAATTTTTTTTTGAAATGTGAAATTTTCATCAGATTTTTAAGCAAACACTAGGCCATATAATTTTAAATGCGTTCGAGACATTCAGGGTTTCTCCCTGTTACGAGCAGCTTTTTTTTTCAAAAACAACCTGCGAGCTGCTCCAATTTGATATTTGCCTATGAATCAAACTGGGTGTAGTTCGAAATTGGAAATTAAGTCAAAATACTCGGAACAGTTCTTCTCAAGT